GGAGGAAAGAAGAGCATGAATAAGCCAAAAGAAGGGAAAATAAAAGGGAAGGAAGGAAGGAGAAGTGAGAGAGAGGAAGAGGAAGGAGGAGGGAGGGGAGGAAGGAACGGAGGGGAGAAGGAGGAAGGTGGAAAGAAGAGGATGAATAAGTCAAAAGGGAAGGGAAAATAAAAGGGAAGGAAGGAAGTGGAGAAGGAGGAAGGAGGAGTGAGAGAGAGGAAGGGGAAGGAGAAAGGGAAGGAGGGGAGCAAGGAACGGAGGGAAGAAGGAGGAAAGAAGAGCATGAATAAGCCAAAAGAGAAGGGAAAATAAAAGGGAAGGAAGGAAAGGGGAAGAGAGAGCAAACGAAAGGAAGGAGAAGGAAAAAGCAAGAGGAAGGGAAGAGGAGAAGGGGAAAAGGAAGCAAGAAATAGCAACAGCGCTTAGACTTATATACCACTTCATAGTCCTTTCCAGCCCTCTCCAAGCAGTTTTGAGAGTCAGCCTATCATCCCCCCCCCAACAATCTTGGTCCGCATTTTACCAACCTCAGAAGGACGGAAGGATGAGTCAACCTTGAGCCTGGTGAGAATTGAACTGCTGGCAGTGAGCGGAGTTAGCCTGCAATACTGCACTCTTAACCACTGCACCACCACGGCTCCTACACACTCATGTTTTCTAGGGGCCCTGAGGCAGTTTGGATCCCTCCCTTGCCCTGGATGGAGAAGGGGTTCTGGGGTCTCATTGATGATTTCCCCGTCCGCCACATTAAGGAAAGAAAATTGTTTTATTCGGGGTTTTCCGATGTAATTGCCCCTCTACTTGTGGTCCTCAACTTCGACCTTTGTTTAAAGGGACCCTTCGAAGTTACAGCGGCATTGAACAGGAGTGACTTGGTGACCAGTTTTCACACTTAATGGCCGTTGTGGCACACACAACTCCATGGTCATGTGATCCAAATTCAGAGGCTGGATAATAGACTCGTATTTGCGACGGTCGCAGTGTCACGCCATCCCCTTGGGCGACCTTCCAACATGCCAGAGTCAAATGGGGAAGCCAGATTCGCTTAACCGTGTCACTAACTCAATCCCCGTGGCGATTCGCTTGAACGACAGTGGCGAGACAGGTTGTAAAACGGGGCAAAACTCACTCTCAACAACCGTCTGTCAGGGTTCTGGGTAATGCTCCCAACTAGTTCGACTAGTTCGTTTAGCAACGGAATTTTTTTGGGGCGGGCGCTATGGTCATAAGTTGAGGACTACCTATAGTGTGACTACCTATAATGTGAGGCGTGGCTCCTCCTTCAAATCCGTGGCCTTTGTTGTTTTCCTTCCTCCTCAAGGAACGACCACCAAGATCACCACAATCCCGGTGACTTCGAAGCCCAACGTCATCGTTGTGCAGAAAACCGCGGGAAAGGGCACCACCATTCAAGGACTTCCCGGCAAAAATGTGGTCACGACCTTGTTGAACGCAGGGGTAAGTCCACATCCGCCCGAGAACAGCAACACTATCATGTCCCTGTCAGAGCCTGAATCAGCGGGGGAAGAGGAGCCGGAACTGGAGCCGACAGAGATTGAGGGGGGCAGGTTCCTTGACTTCGGAGGAAAATGGGGAAGAACAGGCCAGGGCCTTTCAGGATTGGGACGGCTTGTAGGCAGGGAGGAAAGAGGACAGGATAACCAAGAGAGGCTAGGCAGTGGGCATGAGAGACAGCTCAGGTGATGAGCAAGGACTTCCCCCTCCTGATCCGAGAGCATGAAGAGCAGAGAGAAGGCGGGAACAGCTCAGGCTGACCCGTTATGGTTAGAATATAGTTACTGCTCTGGGATAGAAGCTGTTTTTCAGCCAATTTGTTGGTTTTATTGTCCTGAACCATCTGCCAGATGGTAATAGTTCAAAAAAAAAAAAGGATGTCCAGCATGAGATGGATCTTTAAGGATGTTTTGAACTTTCTTAAGGCAGCCATAGGACATCAAAAGCCTGTAGGACAGGGATCGCCAACCTTTTCGACCTCAGGGACCACCAAACTCATAATTTTAAATCTCGCGGACCACTAGTGTGAATTTTGACTGACGGTGGCTTGCTGACGTTGGTGGGAGAGAGAGAGATCTGATCTAACTTCTCTCTCCCCCCCCCTCTCTCTCACACACACCCACACACAGACACACAGAGAGAGGCTAGGCATGAGAGACAGAGCTCAGGTAGTGAGCAGGGACTCCCCCCTCCTGATCCGAGAGCATGGAGAGCAGAGAGAAGGCAGGAACAGCTCAGGCTGACCTGTTATGGTTAGAATATAGTTACTGCTCTGGGATAGAAGCTGTTTTTC